TTTATACAGGCCCGGAGAGGCTTCGGCGGCTACCCCGGAAATACGTGGTTTTGTTCCCGTTGCTTCTTAGGGAGATAAGAAAAGCTAAGAAAATTCAGGGCAGTTTCCCTTTATGTTCTACGGCAAAGGCAAGAAAACCTCATGAGCTGGGGAAAAGATGAAAATAAATGTGGACTAGTGTGAGGGGATAAGAGTCATCTACAGACAGAAGAAATGTTATGAAGGCAAAGGGAAACTACTGCCATTTGAAGGAAGAGTAGAATCAGTGTTGCTTTTGCATAAAACCGAGATAATCCTATTGGGATATAAAACTTTTTTTTTTTTTTGATACTTTTTGGCTGCAGATATTTTCTTTACTCACTGCTCTGAAGAAAGGCCGCTATACCTGCTTATTCATTTAAGAAGCTATAACGTCTATCTAATATTTATGCTGCATACCAAGGTTTAACCTTGTATTGTGATGCTAGCAGTGTGCTTCTAGCACACAGTGAACATTTTTTTTCCTTACATCACACTGCATTTTGAAAGTGACTAGAAATCAAAATGTGGTAAAACAACACAGACCAGTAAACATTCCCTAGAACATTAAATAATCGTTAGATCATTGCTTATTGGTTCCTTAAATATTGGTTAAATAAAGCAGCATTAACAGTGGTTGGTGATTCAGAAGTCAATCAGTGCGGAAGAGAGAGGAGGGGAAAATAATAATAATAATAAAAAAACACTAATCAATGACCTGAAATAGGGCAATGTCAATGGAGGTTTTCCTTTTTTTTCACCTTTTCAGAACTTGCCGAAGTGGCTAGCGCTACCTGATTTAGAAGTGCTTACAAGTGCTTGGACAACAGTAGCTTTGAGCACTTCTGTAGCTTATCCTTTAAAATATATTTAATGTTCTAACTGATTTTAAGTTTATGTTTGCACTTTAAAATGGGCAAGTGCAGTTAAATAGATTATGTCTTAAAAGATACAGCATAGGTGTATTGTTTGACTGTGTTGAATTTGTCATTCCTTAATTTTTGTCCTTTTTGCTACAAGCCCTATGTTAATGACTAGCCCTTAATAGATCACTAATTATTCTTAAAATATACGCAGGGTTACAGATAGCCAAATCTCCATGCTTAAAGTGTTACGACTACTGAACTGTACACGCACATACCGTTATATTTTCAGCTTCCTTCTTCTGGAGTTAGTTGAAAAAAAATGATTAATTCAGCAGTGTTAAACCTGATCTATAAAGTCTAAGTTTCCTTTAAAATTGTTGCTGCCTGTTTCAGCAGCTGCAGTGCTGAAAAGGTATGTGGCTACCCTGAGGCTAAACCACCAGTCTCAGCCAAGCTCCCTGTAGAAGCTTGCTCCCTGGCTGGCTGTGCAATAGTGTCATTTTATTAGTGACATTTTCTAATTGTGGAGGTTACTCTTTCTTCTGGGAAAGTGAGCTGAATCAGTGCAGGTAGGAGAGTGCTTAAGCTGATGCTGTAACTGAGGAATGTATGTGAATCTACAACCTCAGTATAAGGATTTTGTTTGTTTAATGCTTTACAAGGCCATGAAATGGCCAGAAAAAAAAAGGGAGGGGAAGGGTTTAATGTATTAAATGTATTAAAATTGTAGCACAGAAAAACAGCTGTAATCATAAAGTGTTAAAGTTGATCAGTCAAGTAACGCTTCAAAAATATCAAATTCCTCTTATTATGCAAATGTTTTTTCACGCCTTTGTTTTCAGTGATGAGATGCATTAGAAGTTTTGCAGCTGTTCTGGCTTAACTTGACAGAAATAAAAACAGTCTTTTTAATGAAAAGCATCAGTTATGGGACTTCTGTGCTCTTTAAACCTTTGATATTCCTACCATATTGGGCAACAGAAGGTAACTTTGTAGAATCAGAGCATGGCTGAGGTGGGAAGGGAGATATGAACATTCTGCAATTCCCCTGCTCAGAGCAGTGCCAGCCGGAGCAGGTTACTCAGCACTGTGTCCAGTCAGATTTTCAGTATCTCTGAAGTTGGCTGAAGTTGAATATCTCCATAACTGCTCTAAGTAACCTGTACCACTGTTCAAATATCTTCACAGTAAAAAAACCTTTGGTTTTCCTTATATTTAATGGGAATTTCCTATACTCAGGCATCCCATGTCTGTTACTTGAACAACATCAGAAAACACTCTTAACAAAAATTGTTCTTCTTTACAGATCAATTTTTTTTTTATCCCTCACAGATTTAGTGTGTTTTTTATTTGGTGAGTAGTTTGCTCATACAGTATTTTTCAGAAGATTTTCTGAGACTGGCAATGATTTTAAGTCTGATGATTAACCATGCTGTATTATTTTAGATGAAAATGAAGATTTGCGAAAGCTTGCTGAACGGGAAGTCATTTCCTGTCAAGAAGAGATAGCTGAACTGAAACACCAGGTTAGAGTCCTTTGAAAAGCCTTTGATGCCCTTTCATTCTTAAATATGAAATGCCAAGGTGTTCTCTCATCAAAATAAGATATATGCGATTGTGTATGTAAACCTCTTTTCCCTTTCCTCTCCCTCCCAACTGTAGTCTCAACCACTGCCCATTTTTTAAGGAAAATGAAAAATGCAGACTCAATACATAGACAGTCTGTGAATGCCTACTTGTATCTGAAACTCTTTGAATCAATAAAACTTGGTGGGTAAATTCTGTAGTTTGTTTTGTATTAGTGTATGTGGATGTCTACTGCTCAGCTTTGGTAACATTGAATTTGTATAGTATCACACATAAACAGGTTTTGAAAATGACTTTTTAAAACTATGTATCCAATTTCAGACCTTCTATTTTATTTAGGCTCTACATAGTATCTATGATATGTTGTGTCAAAATATTTCTCTGCACATAAACACCTTATTACAAGACTTCCAATTTTGCTGTTGGTGAAGAAGCCCATATTTTCATATTCTTTATTCATTCAACAGCGGTACAACAGTAATTTTATAATCATTTTTGTTAATATTTATAGAAAAAAGGATGTAGCAAAAGGGGAAAGAGAAATCTACAAAAAGATTTCACCTAAAGCTAGTAGATGGACATTTACAAATCATCCAAAATCAAACATAGCCTGTAACATTTATTATACATTTTTGGGGTTCTAATACTCTGGTAGATCTTTTGGTTCTTCAGATCAATATAGGGGCACCTCTCATTTAAAAAGAAAATAATTACAGCTGAATTCTTGTTGAAGGAATATAATCCTGAATATGCATATATACCGTCTTCATTCCTGAGCTGAGATTGGATTAAAAAGGAATCTGTTGTGGAGAGAGACATTTTTTTTTTTTTTTTTTTTTTTGCAAGCATCAGTGTGTATTCTATGGTGTACAACATGGTACAGTTGTACAGTGCTCCTGTTCTGTAGAGTTTTATAGGTCTTGAATAAAAACTTCCATCAATGTGAAAAGAGACAGGGAGCAGATTCCCTCCTCCCTCTTCCTGACCAGGTATTAATGCAACGGGCATCAGAAGGCCCTGGGAACCCAGTTCTCTGGAAAATCAATGAGATACTGCAGAATGCCACATAGAATGATTGCAGACTTGTATGAGATTTCATCTTGCATGGCTTTTCATCTGAGTGGTGGATTGTGATATCCAATTGAAAGCTTAGATGCATATTTTTGTATTCACAGATAGTGTTGCTTTTGATTCCTTCGGAAGAAACAGACAACAGTGATCTTGTCATGGAAGTAACTGCTGGAGTTGGAGGACAGGAAGCCATGTTGTTCACTTCAGAGATATTTAATATGTATCAACGATATGCTGCCTATAGAAAGTGGAGATTTGAAATACTAGAATACTTTCCCAGTGAACTAGGTCAGTAGTGAAAATACTTAATATTTGTGATTTTAATCTCAGTCATTTAACTCATGACGCTTGTGTTTGCTGTCTACAGGAGACTGTTTTTCATTGATCTGTTTAAGAATCAAAGATTATTTTAATTTATGAACACAATTTTCTGCAGTTTTTGTATTTGAGAATGGAATTTCACTTGAAAAGTACTGCTAAGTACTAAAATACAAAAAAAAAGTTTTGTAGGAAAGTAGAAATGAAACTGGATCGAGCAAGTGAGACAAATATGTTTTAGCTCTATTTTCTTATAATAACAGGTTAGATATGTTGGTCTGTTTAGTTACTTGATAACTTATGGATCACTTTGGTGGCAGGCTGAATATTTGTCCTATTATGACTTTCTTGGCAGAGACAGGAAAATTGTATAATCAAAACTATTCTCAGAGCAGATTTTTTTTTCATTCTCTGCTCTTCCTTCCTTTGCACCTGTCTGAACATTTTTACCATATTTTCTTATACATTTTCTGATGTCCTTTCACTTAGACTGTCAAAGATGATCCTTTTTATGCCTGAGATAGCTTTTCGCCTGATTAATGAGGCAAATCATGAGCCCTAGAGCTAGCATAAGATGAGCCGCGACCTGTGGCTGGTGAAAAATAGGGTCTTTATGTGATGAAGCACTGTTGAGTTAGTTTACTGCATCTCATGAAACTGTATCATTACAAAGGAGAGGCTTGGAAGTTTTACATAACAGGTGAAAGTCTGGTAGTGGCACATATCAATTCTAGCTTGATCAAGCTAGCTGGAAATATTGTTTCACAAATTTTAGGCTGCCCTCCTGTCCTTGTGTTCTTCTGACTCCTTTGCATTTGCGCTTGTGATTGCGTGACTGCTCAGAGTCTTTCAGGAAGTTAGTCTGACTAGAAAACAGGGCATAAAAATGTGATTAGTTTTCAGGTGATCCAGCACAAGGGAGGAGGAGAAATGCTCATGAGGGGCAGGAGAAGATGAAATGAATGGCTGCTAGTGTATGGCCGTGAGAAAACCAGGATCTCCTGTTCTAGCAGCAAGAACCTTTGATCATCTAAAGCCAACTGTGAGAGTTCATCCAAGTCATGGCAGTGAAGATAAGGTGACAGGGATTGCAACTTCAAACTGAGAAACTGAATATTAAGCTGTTATTAAGAGTCTGGACTTGCAGAATCTGTCTGTGTTAACACATCTGCATACTTGCTGATATCCATGGTGTCATCAGTAAAGCTGACACATGTTTCTAAGCTGTATTTTCCTGTGGAGGAATACACATAAGAAGTTAGGAAAATTTAACTGCATTTGCTTTTTTTTTTTTCTTCTTTATATTGATGGATTATTCAGTTTTAATTAGTGCTTATGCCTTGGTTCTTAATACTATTAATGGATAGATATAACTGAAATGTAGTTTGAATTCACCTAAGTGGCAAGGTGAGAAGTTTAAAAAGCTGCTTATTAATTCAGCTGCAGAAAGATTTTAGTAAGCTTGGAGACATAGGAAACACATGGCATTAAGCATTATCTGTTTGCCTTTGTCATTGACTTAATAGTACTTTCAAACATTTTGAATCTCTTCTATTTCTCTTCTGTAGAAATTCACACAAAAGAAATATCCACAACTCTACTAAAAAACCTTCTGTTGTCATTGAATTATATGTCCACTTCTAGTGAGGATCTTTCAGTCTCATGCCTTAAGACCTTTCTAGACATAGTGCAGCTTTTGATTCATTGTTACATATTGAAGATGAGGATAATGTTCAAAAAATGGTATGGATGGGGCAGTACAATAGGATATCAGAACTTGGGAACTTAAAAATTTAAGTACAGCCTTGATTTACTCTCTGTTTTCATACATCCTAAAAAAGGGGCTCCTTTATTCGCCTGTTGCATATACAGATACACTTTTTTCAAGCCAACTGGCTTACTTTTCAGTGATTTTAAATTTAAGATAAAGTTACTGATTTTAATTTAATATGGATTTCACTTACATTTCTGGTTTATTAAAACACATAATAGAATCTAATAAAAAAGTTATATATGCAAGTTTGTAAACTTTGTTTAAACAGTAGCCTTCTTTAGATTTCTTCTTAGTAGGTAACTTCAACTTTTTTGAATCAGAGGTCTCTCTTTCACCATTTCAAAATCTCCTTCTAGAGAAGTTGCTATTATTTCGATTAATACACTTTTAAATTTTGTGAATTGAGTTTACTCTTATCTATGTAGACTTGTTATCACCAGTAAGCTCTTTTTATGGTCAAGAGGTCATTTAAGTAAACTGTTTGCGCAGTTTACGTGAAGATAGAGACATGACGAAGTTACAGCACAGCTCAGTGTTGAAAGGGGAAAGTCTTGTTTATCCTTATTTATGACTAGGCAAACATGTGCAGAAACTGAGCCTTTTCAGCCTTTAAGCCTGTGTTAACCTTTTAGCAAATTGCATTAACATACTAAGGTTAGATAAGTGTAAACAGATTATGAAGAAGAGGCTGAGTCCTCTCCTTTCGACATGTGTCAACATGTGGAAAGGGAGGGAGTACTACCCTTTCCAGCAAAGTTTAGATGAGCTGAACCTGGCCATCACATACAACTGCACCTTCCAGAGCACAGCTTCTCAGTCAGCCTCAGGGCAGTTTCAGCTTCCCCAGTTGCCAGCCTCTTGTTCCTTTCAGCTCTAGTGATTTTGACACCATAGTGCTAATGGATCAATCCGCTGATTTGGCCTGAAATCTATTGGATAGTTTTAAGTCATATATGACTTAATTTGCAATTCTGTAGTTGCAAGGGAAAGGGTGTGGTGTTTCAATACGCTTTTGGTGAAAGCTCATTCTTAGATGAACAGTGAACCCCACACCCTCCGATGCGTTTTATAGATTAGAGTAATGCTTTAACCTAGTTAGCATCCTGTCATATTTTCCTTTTGAAACTCTTGCTTTCTGAGTCAGTACATATTTATTGTAAACTTTTGTCTTGCTGTTTGCTTGCCTGTGTAATGAAATGGAAAGTTTAGGAAGCTACGATGTCAATATAGAGGCAAGTAAAGGCATCTCTATCCTTTGTGTACCTCCTACAGTGCATTTTCTAATATTATTCAATTGCATGTCTACATATTATCAGGAATTGTGGGACTGGGAATAAGCTGAGAGGTAGGGGGACTATAGGAAGCACTGCTACTTAAAACGGTTTTCCAGAGTGAACCGTAATGTCCAAAGTGACTTTCCTGTGTTTAGGAAAAACTGAGTTAAGGATATCTGCTGTTAATGGAGGCTATTGTGTCCCATCCACACGTATTTTTTTATATTTTTATGAACTGCATGAGCAAAATCATGGCTCTACATTAAAATGTCAGCTCCTACACTTCATAGATCTCCAGAATTAAACTAAAAGCTGAACAGGAGCATGTGCAGACCAAATGGATGTTAAGCAAAGCTGTAAATAAGAAGCAGTTATAGGGAATTAGAAATAAGGATCAATTTGGTCACTTAAATGACATTATTGCTTTACCCCAAAGAATATCTTTTTGCAAAGTAAAGATCTAAGATGCACATTAAACACAAATCTACATCACTATTTATGTTCTACTTCCAGCCTTATGGTGGTATGCAGAGCCACTTGTTTCTGTCTCTGTAAACTGTCACATAAAAAAAAATGAGAGTGCAAATTCACACCTTGATCTGTGCACATCAGCTTTTCAGGATAGAAGAAAATATTTTCTTTGAAAGAGGCAAAGATATGCTTGGCAACATCCAAAGAGATCTGTTTGACAGGCTAATGATGTGTAAAAACCTTTTGGTAAAAGGGTAGTGTAAAATGTTGCAGTTTGAAAGCTGTAGTGGTGGTGGGAAGGAGGAGATATCAAATACTGTGTTATTTATACGCCCGACTCTGGCAGGATGGGATTCACAGTCTGTGTACCATAGGTCTGATCACCTTCACAGGAGCGAATCAAATTCCCAAATACTGTGATCAACTATAAGCTCGACTTTAGCAGTATCGGATTCACGAACAGTCCGTCAACTGTAGGTCCGATCGCCCCCCCAAACAAGTAGCCAAGTTCACAAACAGTAGGATTTATTCAAATGCAACATTTACAAAGCAGGTTTCCGATGTCAGTACAGAAAATTCTCTACTATAGTGTGGGGTTTTTAGCTACCTCTGATGTACCAATGTGCAATCATCACTCACCCCAGAAGATAGGAGAGGGCTCTCAGTCTCCAGTCTTCTCAGGCAGTGTCCCAATCCAAGAGAAGGAAAGGGAGATAAGTCCGTCAACTGATCCTTTATTATGATGGATTATTAATTATGATGGATTAATTATGATGGATTCTTCCCTCTCACTTCTTAGTCTCCTCAGGGGGCATTCCAATCCGAGGGGAGGAAAGGGGGTTCAGTCGACGGACTGAACCCAGTTACAAAGGCTTCTTCCCTCCCTCCTTTTCATCCCTAGTTCACCTTTTGTACTTTTCTTTACATTCAAGTGGAGCTTGAGTGATTAGAGTCATACCTAATATTGTTATTGATTGGGGAAAAAGCTTCTTGCTTTCATTTAAAGGTACAGTCAATCGAAAATCTAGAGCGCATGCTCCGTGAGGAGTGGTGTTACCTTGGAGGTGGGTTACTTTTGGGATGGAGGTGTCTTTTGACGTTATAATGAGCAAAGTTCAAGCAAAGTTCATCCAAGGGAGTGATTTGCCACCCTTGCTGGCTCAGCACCGCACATGTTATCGTATATCTCCCATTGGACAGCTGCTGTGCAGCTCATGAGCGGCCCAGCACAGGGAGTGCAACAGAGTTTGGCCGCGGTGCCTTCGCTCTGCTCCATCCTCTGTTACTGCCCTTTACAGCTGCGAGGAGGGCGGCTTGTGTTGCCCAGGGAAGTGTGGAGGAGCTGAGTCCGTGTGCGTACCAACCATCCTGGAAGTGGCAACTGTGTATCACCCCAAGCAAGCTTCTGTAATGCCAAAACTTCTTTTAGGCCCTAGTTATTCTCTAAGGTTCTCATTTTTCAGGCCATTCTTCCACAGTTTGTGTCTGTTTTATTGGACTACTGCATTTCATACTAATGTGGAAATTACCATATATGCTGGTAAATGTATCTCTGAAACAGTATGGCCTAGTTATATGTCTTTTCAACCAATTTCTTGGACATTTCATGATAAGTACCACTGACACACATATAATCACTACAACTTCAAATTCTCTCAAGCAAGTGACAGATTTGGCTGCAGCTCAGGAGACAGACCATACCATGGTATATATGTCAGTGCCAGGATAAGTGTGAGAGAAAAGGCAGAGCATTAGCTGTTGCTATGAACTGTTTATTACATAATGAATACTTGTCAGTAGTGCTACAGCATTGTGGACATTGACATTATTTTTTCTCTGACATTGCCTGCACATGCTCGGGTGCAGAGGTTGCTTATTATGGGTTCTTTTAGTACTTGCTTTTATATGTAAAGGAGTAATTATGTTTCAATACTAACAGTGTAGTCAACTACATAAATTATTTTAGGTTGTATAAGAATCCTTTTGTTCATTGGAATGGTGTTTGTATAATATTAGAAAGATTTTACAGTAGTTCTCAGAATGAAACTTAATTATTTAAAACGCAGATATTGGCAGATATTCTTACTTGTTAAAATACCTGCTTTGTGGTCATACTTATTCTACATGTGATACATTAATCTTGCAGAATTAATAGTAGACAATGGCTGTAAATTAAATCACTAAAGTATTAGGAATGTTGAACATTGCTTTTGAATCAAAGCAGTAAAGATTTGTACAAGTAGGAACCAAATATAAAAAATCACAAGATCAAAAATGAGATGAAAGAGAAAGGAAGTAAAAAAAATAGAGGCTGTTTTCCAGAAGCTTGACTTTAAAATAAATTTTAGTAAAGTTGTGGAGAATATTAAGTTTAAGTAGAACAAAAACATATGCAAATTTGCTCAGTAGAGGTGAAAAATCTGACCTGCATCCTGACTGATGATTTTCTTCTGCTCTGGTGGCTTTTTCAAATTCTGTATTGTCTTCACTTTAATTTTTAAAAGTTGCTATCTTGTCCCTATGGTATAAGGTTGTTGATGCAGCGATTCTTTACTTAGTCTGTAGACAGCCTAAACAGGATTTCAGAGAAATATGTGCCTCCAGTTTTCCTAGCTGTATGTTGCAAGACTTCAATGGCAATATTCGCTCACTGTTTCATCTCCTTGATTGTTCTCATGGGGCACCATGCACTGTACTGAGAACTGGATCAAGGAACTGATAAAAAGCAAGGGAAGAGCAAAGATGAGGGGAGAATGGGGAAAAACAAGTATAAATAATAGTCATCTTTAAGTTAAAATTTTTGAATGTTCTGATCTTTTGAAAGGTCTTAATGTTACCAAGTATGGTCCTTTCCTGAACAACAGTAAAATGATGATACAGTTTTTGACTGGTGACAGTTTTTGAAAGGTGACTTTCAAATTTTGATCTTTATGCAAACTTCCTAGTGGTGCTAGTGAGAGTTCTATTAGTGCTGGATGATCGTAAGTTTACGCACATAATTTCGTGGTTCATAAACAATCTTTTTATGTATATAGATAAGTTAAATTTGCCTCCATTAAATTAATTTGACAGCCCATTATTTGAGAAACTGTATGTCTGTTTTTGTTTAGAGTTTCCTTGCATTTTGGATATAATTCTGACTAAGCATTTAAATGGCAAATTTCTTGTTTTATTTAAAAAGCAAATGACAGTGACGTCTACATAGAATGTTAGAATTATAGTAGGATAGCACCAACAGTTTTTTACAACTTTACATCTGTTTTCTTTTGTATTTAAGGTGGCCTAAGACATGCAGTTGCCAGTATAGCTGGTCTTGATGCGTACAAATGCATGAAATTTGAAGGAGGAGTGCATCGTGTTCAGCGGGTGCCAAAGACAGAAAAGCAAGGACGCATTCACACCAGCACAATGACTGTCGCAATATTACCCCAACCCACTGAGGTATTAGTATAATTGATTTACCATGGATAAAAACGTCACTGGCAATGAACTTAAAACTTAGATAGCTTAAAACTGCCCTGTGAATTGGCATGCATGTTTTATGAAAAACTCCAGATTTTAGAGTAGCAAAGACTGAGTTGGTGTAGACTTCATAGATTTGGCTTAGAAATCTATGCTTTTCCCCATTTTTATAGTATCCACATTTTACTCGTCTAAAATGTATTTTCTTACTGCATTTGCTTCATTACCAATGACATCATAGCTTTGGGTTTGTTGTTGTTGTTGATGTTTTGTCTCTTGTTGAGAACTGATGAGTGCGTTATTCCTTCGTCTGCTTCCCGAGTTGTCTCAAGTCTTTCCACCCAGAAAATGTTGCTTCTTTCCAGAGTCCAGAATATGTTCCATTTTAGCTAAAACTCATCTGGCAAGTTCAAATATTAGTTAACTCTGCTGTGAGGAAGTGCAGAACTTTCAGAAGAGAGGAAAGATGGACATTAAGGGATGGCTATGCCATAAACTACTCTCTGACTTCCCTGCTTCCACTCTGTTTTGTTCCAGTCTGCTTACAAAGATGTGTTGTATTTGTTAAAAGTGGGTCTGAACTACCACTAATATTTTTTCTAAAAAAAAGAGTTTATGGAAAAAAAAAAGTTGAATATATAGGCTTAATAAAATAAAGCCAGTATGCATATTTGAAAGAAAGAACATAGATGTGTTCTTTTTTCTTTTGTCTCCCACAACAGATGAGGCTGAAAATTAATCCAAAAGATCTACGAATAGACACTAAACGAGCTAGCGGAGCTGGTGGCCAGCATGTCAATACCACCGACAGCGCTGTACGGATAGTTCATATTCCAACAGGTAGATTAATTCTTTCCTTTAACACACGATCGTCATTTTAGAACTACTGTCATAATTGCAATGCAGTACCAATTTTACTTACTAAGAAATCTAAAATCTACAAACATGGCCTCAGTTTGCACCAGAGGAGGTTCAAGTTAGACATTAGGAAGAATTTCTTCATGGAAAAAGTAGTGGCAAAGCATTGGAACAGGCTGTCCAGGGAAGTGAGGGAATCATCATCCCTGGCAGCGTTCAGCAAACATGTAGATGAGGTGCTTAGGAACACAGTTTAGCAGGTATAGTGTTGAGGGGCTTATGGTTGGACTCGATGATCTCAGAGGTCTTTTCCAACCATAACGATTCTATGATCTTTGTATGTTTCTGACTTCCTGAATTTCATTGTAAGAATTACCAAACAAAATTATCTATCTGCAAAGGGCCTGATGAAACAGCAGTTCACTTAAGCTGTATATAAAACAATTGATAGTGTCTATATCTCCATGACACAAAATTACCAAAAATTTTACAAAAATTATCTAGTTCGTTTTCTCTTAAGTGTATGACTAATTTAACCGAACGTCAGAAATCAAGACTGAAAAGTTCCAGGACAGCTACCAAGTATAGAATAATAATTTCCAAATCTTTCTTTTAAAATTTATCTTTTTTAACCTTTATAATACTTTAGAAAACAACAGATTATGTGTTTAGCTGCAGATGAGGCTATCAAGATAATAGTGCATCCTATTCATTATGAACCAAAATCCCAAAAATAATTATTGCTACAAATAAAATGGCTAAAATAAACCTCCCCGCCCCCCCCCCCCGCCCCCCCCAAAAAAAGGATGTCTGGAGCTTTCTGTTTTCTAGAAAACAACTGTTTTATACAACTAATTTATTTTCCAACCTGGATGACAGTAGAAATGATCATTTTTGCATATACAAAAAAGTAATAGTATTCTAATTTTTTTTTAGTGTTTTGTGCTCACCCCTTTTTTGTAACTGTGATTACTACCTACTTCAGCAGAAAAGCTGTTCATTTTCATTATACTCTAAAAGCATCCAAATAATTTCTATGAAAAAGCTGCACTTAAGCTTTAAAAAGTGGAAAAAGAATTGAAGAAATAGAGTAGGTTAGGATCTGATTACCTGACTTCTCTTGAATAGTCTCTGAAGGAAAGATTGCTCTATTTCCTTCTTAAACTGTTCTTTTAGGTGCTATCTACTCCAGAGTCTCTTCTGCATTGCAACTTCTATTTGTCTTCTGGCTTCTTTCCCATACATTGCAGATGTAGTTAGGAGGCCCATTCCCAGAACTCAGAGAAAATATAGGTGGTATAAGATAAAGCCTCAGATTAGAGCTATTGTATATTTTATTGACATTTTTAAACTTCTTTCAGAGCAATCCACAACAGCTACCTTGACTTTCATTGCTTTTTAGGTCATCTTCTTCTCTACCACAAATATTAGGCTTTAGGACCTCAAGGTAATCTTGAGTCCTTTTTACCTCCACATATCCAGATTTTTACCATCCATTACTTCATATTTGTAGAATACAGTAATATATTCTACACTTGTTGCATCACCTCAATAAAATAGAAAGTAAACAGTAGAATTGACAGAATTCTGTTTAAAATATTAAAATAGTAGTAGAAATCTTCATGCAAAGATTTTGTGTTTATGCATTTGGAATGATTCACAGAACTTTTTACCCTAAATCTCTTGACATTTTCCTATTCTTTCTTTGCTGTTCATCTTCAGTTCTATACAACTGTGCTCTTACTTCCTCTATTTCTCTCATATTAACTCTGTTCACAGGCCTTTATTTTGACAGAAAAACTTGTCTGTAAACAACTATTTCATACACACATATTATGTTAACTTACCTAAGTATGCTGTAAGCTTACCAGAGTTACTTACGGTAAATCCAAATGGCTGTTTACTCTGTACTATCTTTTTGCTGTATTTCTTTTCCATCTCGTTTTCTTAGTTCTTTTTGGTTTAAGTTTTTGGCAGGGAGAAAGTATACCTTTTCTGAAGAACATGTTGCCAATTTTTGTATAGTCTGATCATATTACATATACTTATTGTCCAGTGCATAATATTGCTTCTTAACTCCTAATTTTACTTGAATTGTGATTGAAAATTATTGACGTTAAAATATTATTCTGTCAGAAGACACAGTTAGATCACCTCATGTAGATTTTACTTTGTTGTTACATATCCAATTAGATTCTTTTTTTTATGGCTTACAGGAGCTGTACAACTCAACACTCACCTGTCCTCCAAGCTCCA